TTATTTTTCACAGATTTTTACAGAAATTCTGGGCAGAATTATTTTTTATATACTTTTTTAATTTTTACTCTTAAAATTCAGGTATAAATTGATTTTAACTGTTGGAGACATCACGGATACGGTTACTGTTTGCTGCTGGGACCGTGTTGCAAAGGAAATGGTCGGAAAATCATGTGATGAACTTCGTATGGAGATGATAGAGGTTCGAAAACGTGGTCAATATAATAAATTTTTTAATATTCAGTTTTGTGTTATCATTTGTATAAAACCAGTCAGGAGATGACTCGCCGTTGCCTACAGACTTGGAGGATTTGGTCGACAAAGAATATTTGTTCAAAGTTGTGAAAAAAAATGAACAACTTGGAACATATAATGGTCCTTTTCAAGTCTCACGTTGCACCTCAGACCCAATTTTAATCAAAAGATTCGGTCCACTCGGACTACCTCCACAAGTATGCAATTTTTATTTAAAATTCTGACTACTCATATATTATATTTAAATTTCTGATTTTATGATTTATTTGTTTTATTTAAAGGAATCTTCCTCAGAAGGCGAAGTCAACACTCCTATTAAAAAGATGAAGGATGGCCATGAAAATGTTACAAACAATAAGCTGAAAAGAAAGCTTTTTGAAGGTGAATCCAGCAATGCAAAGAAGATCAAAGAAGAAGATGAGAAAATAGAGGGGTCCGAATAAATGGCCGCATGAAATAATGAGTTCTAGGAAGAAAATTATTTTTCAGAATGCTGATTATTGTTTTTTAAGTTTGTTATGCTGATTATTGTTTCTTAACTTTGTTATTTTGAAGCTGAACTTCAGTTATGAATAAATAAGTTCATTTCTAATTTTGTTATTTTAGTTTCAGATATAGTTTTATAATTATATAAGTAACAGGAAATAAAACAACAAATAAAATACTGATATTTTGCACAAACAGAGATCCAGTCAACATACCATACAATATAAACACTTAAGCAACAAATAAACACAGAAATTCAGTCCACATAATATGCAATACTAAAAACTGAAGCAACAGATAATTTCCAGAGAGTTCAGTCCACATCACATGCAATATTACAAACTTAAGCAACAGTTAATTTCCACACAGGAATTCAATCCACATAATATGAAATTTTTAATTTCCACAGAGAGTTCAGTCCACATCACATGCAATATTACAAACTTAAGCAACAGTTAATTTGCACACAGGAATTCAGTCCACATAA